AGTGAGTCGCGAGACCAGGTCGAATCGAGCAGAACGGAACAGGTGGACGCCCTCGATGGAGAGCGACCCAGTCTTGTGGTTTGCCACTCGACCCGCAGGGCCATTTTCAATGTCGGGATCCAATTTGCTTGGGTGCGTGTAGTGCAAGCCGACCGAGTACCTAAAGAGACAAGCCAGTTGCTGTCGAGTACTGATTCTTACCCCCAATTCGATGGAGGCCAACGGGACAGAAACAGAAAAAAGAAGACGCATAGACATGGAGTTTGCTTGCTTGGCTGTTGGGGATTGCTCTCTCTTCTCCGGCAGCCTCCCAGCCACATCGAATCCAGCCGGATTCGCCTCCCGGTACGTACATTCAAGGTAAGGTACTGCTCGAGGTACATGACTTGTACAAGGAAAGGTACCTGCAAGCAAGCTACCCGCAATTGCAATGCAAGGTGCCAATTCAAATGTTGCTGATACTGCTTGTTTTGGTTGCGTACCAATAAGTCATAGTTGCCGTTCATTGCCGTCATTCGATGGATCGTCAAAATCGCCCTCACTTCGTCTTGCGACCGTCAACGGGTAAAGATATGCACCTGATCTATCAATAGACCATCGTGCCCCCTGGGAGTGGGCATGGAACAGAGGACCCTTCAACAGATCATCATCTGCTCGTCATTGCTTTTTCCAATTGGGCTCCTCGGGTGCTTTTGCATAGCTGCGACGCAGGAATCAAGCAAAGTGATACGTCTGTAAAAGGAAGCCCTGGGATGCCGATGGTGGCACAAACATTTCATCTCCTCTCACTGCACCCCTGGTAGTAGGCCCAAGCCTCATTTTAGGCTTTAGCTATCCGTACCTTGCCTGATCGACCCAGAGTCTCTGGCGTGATGTGATCAGAGCTGAGCTCGCCTGGGCTGGGCGTCTGGTATTGGCTTCTGCTTGGGCTCCCGACATTGAGAATCCGGGGGCGGCTATGCGCTTCGGAAAGCCAATGAACGGAATGATGCAGACTCCCAGGCCGGAATTGATGATGAGCGCGATCTTATCCGCCAGAAACACGCGAGGTCTGCATGTACTTCGTGGGTGGTCGATAGGCATTGGAAGAGGTCTCATGTCTCTCTGTCTTTCGACCTTCCGCCCGTCTCCGTCGACCGTTGGTCTCTCGGCAATTTGGAATAGTACGCCCAGTCGTCCACAGCGAAACCGCCATACCCAATGCCTCATTGTGCTCCCTGACGCCCCCTTTGGAGTCATGACGTATTTGAACATACCAGCCAACATGACTTTTGTTCTGAACTGGGTGGGAAAAAAACTATGGCGGATACGCGGCTCGGGACACGCATGGGCTTTCCGTCCGTCGTCTCAGACGGACAATGGACTGGCCCAGGCCATGACACTACCGTTGTTCCTGTCAGGCCCAAACAAGGGGCCTATTGTGTTGCTGGAAGCAAGCGGAGGGCCATTTACGAATAGCGCGTGGTAGGCCTGCAAAAGTCGGACCAGGCGGAGGGAGCAAAGACTGCATCCATCGTACCCCGCCGTAAGCAAGCGAGCAAGCAAGCTGGACGTGGTGGGATGGCGTGGTTCGGCAAGGTGCGATCTGGCAACAATGTCTCGATGGGCGGGAGTGTCAGGGTCGCAATGCTGCAGGAGGTGGCAGGCGAAATAAGATTAGAGGCTCGTCTCGCCGCGTACTGCAGGAGCAGGAGAGCGGCAAAGGGCCAGGCTCGGGCTAGGACTTGTGACTACCTATGCTGCGGCGGTATGTCAAGCTGTCAGCCGCATGGCTGGTACTTCAGGGACCGTGAGTGTCGTGGTGGGTGCGGGGGGGCCGGTGGTCTAGACCGTTCTCCCCTTACCCAGAACCCATCTGGCATATCTAGAGAAATTTCTGGCGCGGGCGGCCTATCATTGGCCCTTCGCCCACAGGTGGTCTGATGAGGGTGAGGGGTCCCAAGGCCAGAATTGTTTCGTTCCGGGATGCCTCGCGAACGGCGGCAACCGGTGAAGGCAAAAGTACGTGGAGTCATGTCCCGCAATTTTGGGAGGACGGCCGAGGGTATTGCCTGTGCCTGTGTGCCTGGACGTGATTTTGTGGGTGGTGGTCTGCTTGTGTTTGTTCCGTGTAAGGTGAGTGGCTGGGCCGAAGAGCAGAACCAACCTACTCTGTACCTGAGAAGAGAAGGAGGAGGAGGAGGAGAAGGAGGAGGATGGAAGGTTGTCGGGCGGCACACGGGGGGCCAGGTGAGGTGAGGGAAGGGCAGCGAGTTGGAGCAAGCGAAGACCGGGGCGGAAGACAAGAAATGCGGTGCTCCCGCCGCGGGCCATCTAATGCTGCTAATTCGCACCCGAGTCTGAGTGGACCCCACACTTTTCACATCCAGGCCGGTGCAGGGCAGGGAACCCAGGTACGAGTCGGTTTTTCACAGTGGGAAATCCAGGGCACTTCAGGTCTGGCATCTGGACCCCACAAGACGCCCCACGATCATAGATGAAGACCGTATCGCGCGCAGTCTCCGTACCTACAGAGTACAAAGGTGTTGGTGGTTACTTTACGCAGTACCTTAGTGTTGTAGGGTGGGTAATTATTCGTCTGCCACCTACCTCAGCATGAACATGTGCGTCTCCCGTGCCGTTGGGCGACGTCTATCCCAATGTTCCTATTGGAAACCGGCATTCACTCCGGCTTCAGCGCAACTTGTCTGTGTCCGTCCTGTCTTGCATTGTCTCGCCTTGCCCTGCTTTTCCTGGCCCTGTCTTGGCCTGCCTTCGCCCTGCCTTGCCTTGCCTCGACTTGGCCATTTCCTTGACACGACGGATACCCTAAGGTACGAATGTACATACATAGGGTTCTGACTACGTACCTGCCCGCTGCTCGCCTCGTCTTCCCTGAACCCTCCCGTCCATTCCCCCCACTGACACCGCACTGTCGTCACTGTAATTGCCAATTGATGGCCCAAAGTATCGATTCGTGTACCGACGACGTACCTGATCCCGAAGCACCGTCGCCGGTCCCCTGATCAGTTCCCCCCCTCCTTTGCATGCAGCCAGTAGTGACCTTGACGCCAGTGGACCCTGACCTGGCAGCACCAGTTTTTGACGACGTCCAGACACAGAAACATGGGAATCTCCAAACTTTTCGATTTTTTTCCTTTGACATCCACTCCGAATATTGCAAACCCCTGCCGCCTTCCACGGAAGTAGTGCCTAGCGCTCAAACTTTCTCGCAGCCTCGCTCCGTCAATCGTTCCCCCCCCCCCGCCTCCCCTCCAATTCATCCCACCATGGAATCCCTGGTTCCCTGTGCCTCCCTCTGCCGCCCGCCATCTCGAATTCTCTGTGGCAAATCCCTTCTCTGCACCCGTCAGAACCGCGAAGCCGTCCTTGAAACCCTGTTCCTGACAATCCTGAACCTCAACGCTCGAGCTACACATGGACCCTCGCCCGTATCCGTACCATCTGCCCAAAAAAAATACATAATCTGGATCCAATGAGCATCCTCGACTTCAACTTGCCTATTCAAGCTTGCAACGACCGGATCTTTTACTCCGTGGAGAAGCCAACTCCAAACCAACAGCCACTTCATTCGGATATGTGGCTCGCCGAAATCATGGAATCCGCTCCTGGGTGAAGCCCGCCCATGTTGCCGGCTCTCCACTGACCAGGAAGCCGCCGAACCACCGCGACCATGCATGCGCCGCCCAGGGATGCGGCTTGCCGGTCGGACAATTTGCCACACTGACCAAGCCTTCCTTGACCGGCGCCGATCATTAACCTATGTGCCCGAGATCTTCATCGCATCCTTCAAGACTCGTCACTGCCTGCACTGCTTTCGCATCATTATGATCTTGCCTTGAGATCATGCTTGGAAACTCCTGCCAGCCTTCATCCCGCCCATGTTGCAACAGACGCCCAGGGTCTTGGTCTTCAGCCTGCCATCCCAGCCAGGAGACAAGGCCCAAATCTGTCTGTCAACCCTCCTTATTCGAACTCTAATGGCAGTTGGAACTGGCCTCCCTTCTTTTTTTTTTTTTTTTTTTTTTTTTGCACCCTCTCACGCAACTTAATTATATCCATTCAACGGCCCAGTTGCATCTTGCGGCACTAGAATAGCAGCACCGTCCATGTTACAATGCACTCACTAGCCTTCTATCATACTCGGCCGACCGACACCGAAGAAAATTAAATGGTTGAGTACCTGTATGTTTGTCCGTACTTTGCGGCGTAGGTTTTTCTCGCATTTGCGTCACCCATGAGACCGTTATGACGACATTGAGGTCGTCTCACTAGTAATCCTGGCTGTCTATAGTCCCCCCCCCCCTGCTGCTGGGTTGCTGGGCTGGCTAATGCACTCTAGTTGATGTGTGCCAGCGCATGCAAGAGGATTCATATGGCAAGTGCCCGAGAGCCTCCAAGCGGCGAATGAACATTTTTGCAACTTCGAGAGCACGCTATGTAAGATCAATACGGATTTGCACAATACCCGAGGCGTCAGGAGATGGTTTCCCGCGTTTATGATCACCTTACAGGTGTTGAAACCGCTTCTCGTTGGTGGCATACTAGGTAGTGCACCCGATAATTACGTGCCGCTTACGTGCTCGCGGACGTAGAAGTGACATCCAGTTGTTATCTGATTTGAGCAGAGACAGCGCTAGGTGGTTAGGTTTGCGTTCGAAAGCCCTGCTTGGGCTCGTTCGCATCTCAAACCACATCCTGCCTAGTGCACCGAACATGTGCTTCTGGTCGTCAACTGCCATGGCTTGGTCTGATGATACACCCATACATTGCCGCCTCAACGATCGCTGTCCAGCCAGCAGTCCACTCGCGTCGTCGTCCGGCGTCGACTTTTGACAGCCTCGCGCAGGACTCCTTCCGGCGAAACCTTTCGGTGGCGACATACCAACGTCGGCGTCAAGAACGTTCTGCAATGTCACTCGCCGGGTGATCCATGCGTCCGAGACCATCACCCACGTTCGTGAAGGCCAACCAGTTGCTTTAGCTATTACCAGTGAGGAATGAGTCGACGTCTAACTTTGGGGGGTAACCTGAGTTAGGGACTTGGGTGCCAGATGCCCAATCATCCGGCTGACCTCCACAAGCATTGGAACCATGTCCTGGCAAGCCACACTCTGAGCTTCTTCAGCCACGTCTAGCCATAGTAAGTGATGATCCTCTGCAAATCTCATGCACATCTGACGACGATGTGCGACAACCGGCCAGTGTGTTTCTGCGGTATGTTTCTACAACTCTTCAATGCTTGGCACCAGGCATACGTAAGACTGAGCCGTATAAGTCGCCTAGAGAGCCTGACGGGGGCGAATCCCCTGATCTGCCGCTGCCCACAGAGAGACACACACACCTTCGTCTTGCAACCAAGTCGGCATCATCCCCGCTGCCGGCGCGAGCCGGCGATCGGACATTGGTGCGGCGGCTTGACTTGTCAGATGCCCTTACGCACTGATCAAGCAGAAGCTCGTCCAGCCCCGCGAGGATTCCAACGCAAAACCGCCATGCCACCGTCGCAACAAGGGGGGCAGGGGGGGGATGAAGTTCAGCTGGTCAGGGCCATCCTGTCTTTTCGTCCCGTCGCCGCCGCCGGGTGGCAAACACATAGCAGACCACCTGGTTTCAACTACTACCGAAAGATGCGGCGGTGCTGTGGCTTTGTTGGGTTCTTTGAGGAAGTTTCGATGAAGATCGCGTTCCTCGGGAAGTATACGTCCTGCTTGAACAAGCTTACTGCAGTAGCATGTTTAGGCTTCTTTTTCCAGTTACTTGTCAGCTGCGTTTCGTTTTTCCGGGTATCTGGAGCGGTCTGCAGTCCGCAACTCTGCATCGCGCGGTCGTGGCAATGATGGAAAGCTGCTCACCACATCCCCATCAACCCTCCGGCGGAGACACATTCGCCTAGTCCGAATGTTGGGCTGTCGTCAGACTAGACCCTAGTTGTGACTCCCCATTCTCGTTCGAACCGCGAATGAGCCGTCGGGATTCCTGAACGCCAGGGCCCTGTTGAGCGGGAGCACCGTTATTGGCTGTGGCAACTAACCTCATGTTCTACGACTATATGCGGATACCTGCCGACTTGACTGGTTCAGCTAAGCCTCCGGAATCGTTGTTGACCCCTGAGCAAAGTGACAAGTCGACCGTGATCCTCAGGAGCATCGTCTGTGGCGCACATGGACCTTCCGAAAACCCGGCAACGACATGTCTCGCCTTCGTCAACAGCCCTCCCCGTGAGCTACCGAGACGTCAACCGAGACCGTTTATGGACGCCTTGATTCGTCTGTGACCCAAGAGCCTCGCTTATTCGGGACAGCCCGTCATCTGACAGGGACGACGGAACGCATCCAATAGAAGACGGAATCCAGACTGCGAGGCATCGCCTATGGGCCCCTAGTGTTGAGCTGTGAATTTAAATCTGTAGCGGACATGGGCCTAGGCTGCCGTCGCCCGTGAGAACGACGACATTGCCTAGAATGGAAACTAATACGAGCAATTTTCGTCGACTGCAAAGGCTCTGCCCGCTACCTCAGTCTGCCGTTCAATCGATGTTAGGGTTTCTGACCGGACTGCGGATTATGCAGCAAATCCATCGTATTCGTAGTCGCCTCCGACAAGCTGGGGGATTGCATATGAACCATAGACAGTGCTGAATAGGCAGTTGCGTTGCTCAACGCCATTCGGCATGTTGGCGCCTGGTAGAAGCCCACCCAAGGCTGGCGCCTCCCTCCATGAAAAGTCACAAACAGCCCGGTATGCGACTCAATCTCTATGTTTCCACTTCACTGGCCGACTCGAGATTGATGATCAGGGGAACTGCCACGTCATTCGACAAGGCGAACGTTGAATACTGCTTTGGGAAGGACAAAAGGGCACTTGATTGATCCATTGGTGATGTTTGGTCAGCTGAACCGGCGATGATGCTGTCTGAAATTGCTACCTGCCTCGTGTTGTACAACTACCCCGGTCCCGAGTTCAGGCGACCTTAATCCTTCTTCAAGGGCAGAAGAACCTCCTCGACTCCATTCTTGGTAATAATCATCATCTGCAAATGATCACCGACCTCGATGTGTCTCTCCACAGCTCCGTCAAACGCATCCTTGACAAGTATCTCGGCCTCCTTCCGCTCCAAGGGAACGCGAGGACGCTCCTGCAGCTCGTGGCCCACACCGCTACCCGGGACGTACTGGTTCTTGAAGTTGACCTGGTTGTCGAGGAAGGGGGTGATCAAGCTGGCGGCAGCACCGCCAGCACGGCTTTGCTCGCGCTCGTAACTTCCGACGGGATCGTAAGAGAAGACAGCGCCAACGCCATCCTCGTCGAGGCCGCCGAGAATTGCGTAGACGTAGTATGGGAAGAAGCGCTTCTGGTAGAGGATGGTGGAGAGGCGCTTTGCGCAGGCGGTGACACTCATGGGCTTACCGTGACGGTAACGGTAGATCTTGCAGATGGTGTCGAGACGGTCCTTGAGAGCTTCGCCGTCGGCGGCGAAGCCAACGACGGAGAGCAGAATGGTAGCGTCTTCTTGTGATGAGGTCGTTCCGCCGATCTTGAAGACTTTGGGGGTGTATCTGGAGTTGATGCTATAGCCTGAGGTGCTACGGGTGTCGCCGGCCATGATGGCGTAGTCGGCACCGGCGATGGCCAGGGTCGAGCCGCCATTGTCGGTGTACCTGTTTGCGGAATTGATTAGCCCTCAGAAAGTCCAAACGTCTGTAAGGGAGGAGTTTTAGAATGAGGGAGCTTTCTTACGGGTTGAAGCGGTGCTCTCTGAATTCACCGTTGACGCTCTTCGGGGCATCGGAGAAGGAGTAGTTGGGCCCGTTCATCAGGGGATTTTGGCTGAACATGGCAGCCATCGTTGCGGTATTATCGTTAGGAAGGAAAGAGAGAAAGAGGATTCGTTACTGTTCGTGAAGGTATCTCGTTTCGTCCAAGGCGTACGTGTATGCCCGTCGGTTCGTTGGGAATGCGGGGAATGTCTTTGCTATGATGGAGGTCAAGGCTGCGACGATGATGATTGAGGTCAATTGTAGTGGACTACGCACGCGTCAAGCTGGCAGCCTTGCCAGGTGGAGGTGGGAGCTGCAAGCTGGTAATGGCAGGGGTAGCTGGTAGTTTTATTGCTGACTAAGACTGGACGGAAATGAGCTGGCTCAGCACCGACATCTTGCCTGCGCCTAGTGTACAACAGTAATTGGCGGGCGCCAGGGGAGGTAGGTGCAGGGATGAGTGGCTTTCAGATGAACGGGATATTATTTGGGGGGAAGCACGTCAGGTGTAGCCATCGTCACCGCGCAGTTGCAGCAAGGCAGGCAAAGGATCATACCTTCCTGGATACCGCTACCACGAAAAGCTTCATTAATTAACGAATACTATTTATCACGTCCAGCCGGTGACGGTACACCCTCTTTAAAGGGTCTTGCACCCTTTACGGCAGCGAAAATGACCCGCGACATTCGGCAGCGAGCGCTCGAGAAGATCGCGTCTCTGTCCGCTGCCAGCTCCAAAACATCCTTTGATCGGTCCGATCTCGACAAACTATGCAAGGCCACCCAGTCCTCTGGCAAGGGAGTCAATGGCTACTCGGCAAAACAGGCTTCCACGTCGCTGGGGAGACAGCCCATGGTACTAGGCCTTGGTCATTGTGCCGTTGTTCCTCAAGATCCGCAGCTAACACGTACCCCCTTATTCTGTAGACGATCCGCGAATTCGAGGTTCTGCTGTCGTTGTGCAAAGCCGCCCCTGCCATCCAAACAAGCCAGAGCGCCCAAAAACTCGTCCACCAGTTGACCCCATACGTTCTCGAGGCACACATCCAGGTTTTCTCGCCGTCGCCCTTCTTCCGCAAGGTCGAGCCATCCCCGACCGAAGCACTCGCTTTCCATGTCACGGCTGCGCTACTCTCTCTCGGTTCCCAGTACGACGACTTACATGAAGAGGTCTCAGACAACATATGGGCTTTCGTGAATGCCTGCGATCATGTTGCGGGCCGCGTTGTACCCCCAGGGGCAGACGACGAGGACCCGAATTTGGAGGACGCCATTAGAACAGCGACGATTGCCGTGTCGCTGTTGGGCTTCCTTGATGCAGCCTCGGCGCAGGCGGACTTTTGGAGAGCCGGTGGCAGATACTCTCTGATTACACGATTCAGGGACATCCTGCAGCAGCCATTCTTGACTGCTGTTGAGACGGCTTTCTCGACGATCCGAAACTCGCAATCTGCAGACCGACATGCCAAAGAGTGGAAACGTTACCTTCGTCACTATTCTGCTGCCGGACGGCCCCTGGGAGCTGTTCTCTTACAGCGTAGCTACATGTGGCTTCTAGTTGCTGGCACGTCGCTCCTTGTCACCGATGCATCTCTCTTGCGAGGCACTCATATCCTCGACCTGCTCATGTCAGGAGACGGTGCCTACAGGCCAGGCTCGCCTCGAAGCCCGGATGCTGACTACCGGTCTCTCGATATGTACACCGCCATTGCTATGGAACAAATGAACTACTTGGAGGCGACCGCTGATTATCTTCAACTCGGGTCGTCATGGCAGCAAAGACTTGCCTTTGCTGTAAAGTCAGCCACTCTCGTTAGCTATCTCAACTGCGCGCTCATAAATGAGGAGGTAGCTGACGTCGACAACCTCATCGGATGGCTAGAAGAGACACTTGCCGACCCCCTTCAGATGGCGGACGAAGCCTTGGCGGCGACTGTTCTGAGATCTATCGCGTTGGCGTGCAAGGTCTCACCGACTTACGCTACAACCGCAAGCAGGCTTTTGCCTCGATTCATCGTCCAAAGCGCACCCCATGCCCGCACTGTTGCCGTTGCTTCTAAGAGTCTGGCTTACGTATTGAAAATGCTTTCTCACGATGCCGTCATTACAACTCTCTACACTCTCGGGAACGTGTTAAGTCCCGGTTCCGACAGATCCATGGCTAACGGCACCAACGGCGACTTGAGTATAGACGGTGCCAATGCCATTTACCCCAACAGGCAGTCAACTGGTAGCAGCATCTCTCTTGCAATCACCGGCGAGGAAGAAACAGCTATGGTCTATGGAAACGTCGTCCAAGCCATCTGTGGCATTGCAACAGCTTGTAACGATGAGAAGATCACTGCTTTGGCGCAAACGATGTTGTTGCAGAAGATCGACAAGGTGAATAGCAGCGTCGACGCTCAGATCATCATCGGCGCCGCCGCCCTCGCGCTGCAAGGTGGACAGCTTGAATTCCGATCGCTGTTAAAGGTGTTCTCCCGAATTTGCCACATTGGGGTCGTCGATCACAAGGACTTCCTCCTGGTGGCTGTGATGAAGGCGAGGACGTATATATCGGCAAACTTGTACAAAGACTCACCTCTGTACGAAATTTACTGGGAGTACTTGCTAGAGAGCATCATCTCTATGGGCGATGTACATCAGTCCAACCATACCAAGGAGGCCGATGTGCAGCTAGCCGCTCGCGAGATAGCCGAGCTGTTGCACCCACTAGCTGTCCTCATGTCCACTAACGATCTTGCCTTCACCTCTGTCACCGACGATGATTCGCACTCCTTAGTCAGAGATGCGTGGTTCAACATTGTTGTCCATGGCTTTACGACACAGACCGACATGGGCAAGAGATATCTCAACGAGCTGCGGGTTATGGCTGTACATTCGCCACCACTCGTCGCCGAACAACGAGGCGAGCAGATCGAGAGTGACATCGAGCTAAACACCGTCTTGCGTCGAGGGATGAGCAACGACAGGGAGACGATGCAGAAGAGACAACTCACCGAATTGATCCCTAGCAAGACCACAGAGATTAAGGGTTTGAGTTACCGCAAGGTGATCTTCCTGCAGGCAGCCTATTTGGTTGAGAGCCTTCGAGCTGATGCCGGAGACTGCACAAAAGCTCTCTCATACTTCCTGGAACCCAGCATGCGTAAAGGGGAAGTTAGCAGTACCATGGAGGGCATTGCCGCCGCAGTGGTAGACAAGTATCTACGCAAGACTCTGGGCGGTGCCGATGCCACCTTTTCAGCCCAATACGCTGCCAGTCAGCTCGTTGCAATCTTCTGCGGCTGCTGCTACCGGATCGAGCGCGTTCAGCAAGCAGCCTTCAGTTGCGCTGACCGTATCGTCAGCCAAGTGCCATCGGCGTTGTGCCATAGATCCTCTCTCTTCGCTCTTCTGGAGCTCCTGTCATTGATGTGGTCAAGTTGCCTCGAGGCAGAAACGGACCTCTATGCCCCACGGTCAAAATTCACGTCCAGCCTTGGGGACGTGTCTGTTGAGCTGTCCGACGACTACAGCTTCAGACGCCACACTTTGGACATTTTGAATCGCAAAGCAAAACAATGGGTGTCTAGCGTAATTAGCATTGCTCCTCTCGACATCAAGGGGCTTCTTCAGACATACTTATCGGAATTTGATGACGAAGGCGCCTATGGCCATATTTCCCTTGGCCGTTCATTTGCGATCGAGCTCGGATCTCTCATACCCTCGACGGATCAAAGACTGCAGTCTCTTGACCGCGTCGGAGATTGCAACATCAATACTGGCTCCGACTTCGTTGCTCAGTACACGACTCGCCAAGAGTACCGATACGGAGAGACGCTGCCGGATCGCGGTAACGAGCTCGTTAACTTCATGCAATTGAATCGTAGGGCGTCTTTCTTGCAGTCATCGGTTTCCTCCGCCAGCGAAAGCGCCAACGCCGCGACTGCGCTGGCACATGTAGAGGCTCGAATCAAGAGCAAGAAGAACACAGCGTTGAATGAGGTTCGCGACATCTTGCGCCGGGCTGCTGCCTTGCTCTGCCGCAGCGACCGTGATGAGTCCGCTGTCGCACACTACCTCGTCAGCATTCCATTTGCTATGTTTACAAAACAATCAATCAAGCTGGGCGTTTCTCTTTGGTTAGGGGTCATTAACGAGAACCCTCGCCTTGAGCCAAGACTTCTCACGGAGATCGCCCAGCAGTGGGAGGGCACCATTCATAAAGGGCTTGGCCTCTTCAACCCTTCAATGTCGTAAGTCGGCTTACCCATTACCACATCTTTTCACTCACCTTAGTACAGGCATCCCGATCCATTCTTCCTCAAGGAGGAATTTGCGCCAAGTGATCTGGAGGCTCTGGCGAAGCGTAAGCAGCAAGTGCACAACTTGCTCTCGCCACACATGCGCTTACTGCAATTTTTTGGAAGCCACTTCAACGCAACCCGACTGGGCAGTCCAGATGTTCAACGAATCTTCTTGCGTCTCCTCGACGTGACTCTAGATTCTATACGGACGTCGACACCTCATCCGATGGCGCGAGAACTCAGATTTCAGCTTGTGTTATTCGGACTCAAGGTGTTGCATGTCTGTACCACAATTGGCGCCATCGCGCAGTGGAGGCTGAAGGAGAAGTGCCTATCGGCTGCCCTCAGCTGGTTCAGGTTCGCGCCGAGGTGGTCTTTTGGCAGCAACATACTTCAGCTCAAGACGGAACTTCGCCTCTTGACTGATATCGTGGCCGCTTTAAAGAGCGTTGCTTTCATTGGCTCTCACGCTGTGGACAGCATCAAGTCGCTCCAGGCAAAAGAGCAATTGCTCGTGCTGCTCCTGGAGAGCGAGCTGACTCGATTGGCGGTATGGGTGCATCCTCTGGGTGAGACTGGAAAGGCGCAGGCGTCAACTACAAAGGCTGCAATCGAGGTGCGTACACAACTGTGTATCGACGTTTTCATACTGACAGTTTCAGACCTCCCTCACCCCCCTGATCAAGGTCGCATGGGCCGAAGACCCCGCCATTGCCATTGAACTCGTTACCCGATTCCCATACCCCCGTATTCAGCGCGAAGTGAGATGGCTCTTAATCAACTTCCCCCAGAAGGCCA